CACGCAGCTTTTACGTCAAAAAATAAATTCGTATTACACAAATGATCTCAGATGTACGTGAGTCCAGCCGGATCAGTTTGACTTTTATGAGAAAAATATTCCTGGTTCAACTGATTAATCTTCCCATATATATTCTACTTTGTGAAAGCTTACAATTACTCGATATTTATGCTAGAAAACTTTCACAGGGACATAGATTAAATAACTCTTCTTAGGAGCAGAGACAAATAGTTTCGGCGCGTCACTGAGAGAATATTTTCAGGTAATTTTTTTAAATTGTTAGTTACGTACCCAGTGAAATTGTCGTATCCAATACATTGACCTGTTGACACCCTATATTGGTATATGAGGTATGATCACTTTTGACAATCACCATACGTCATTAGGTCATACCATGCACCTAAGCCTACTCCTACGAACACATGCAAACCTCTTCTAGATTTGATTACATGATGTAAATTATGACTAACTAGTTCTCACCGTCACTGTCTGGGTTTTCAATAAAGAAAAGAAAAACACGAGGACGTTCTCCGTATTTAATATCAAGATATATTTAATCTAATTTATCCTTTGAAAAGTTTCATCAGCATTAATTCTAACATATTTTTCACCGTCACCGTCGACCTTACTTCGACGATATTTAAACTTTGCCGCCGCTTGTGCCCATGCAGGTTTTAGTAATATTGGCAATATAATAACACGATCGCTCAAAGTGCAGTGGGTGTTCATCACAGATCGCTGTAAAGGTTTAATTTTTATTTCACCGTATTAAATGCATTCTGCGAGCAGTCATCGGCTGCTTCACTCCACGACGGGTAGATCTCGACTTGAGCTATATTCTTCAAGTCTCAGTTCTCACTATGGCTTTACGAAGAACCCGCAAATTTTGCTTCCAGCACTGTAATGAATAAGTATGACCATTAAAAACACTTTCTTAGCCAATAGCCATATCAGCTTCCCAAATGCTGGTGTAGTGCGCATAAGAATTTTAGCGCAAGATCTTTTTTCATACTTTTTTTAAAAATCACTGATCGATGATAGGTTAATATCTTTTAGTAGGGAGGTTCGCGAAATGTTATTTGTTTTAAGGGAATATTTAAAAAATCATTTTGTTTGCTTAACCTAGTCTTCTGTTTGACTGTCCTTCTCTCGTGAAGTACTAGCAAAGTAATCATTGGCCGCAGTGGGCAAGCAACTCTGTGTCACTTACGACGCGGTAAGAAACCATGATAACACTGATCCTTCCCACTGAAGTGGGTCACTGCAGTTTACCGCGGGCTACATAACATGTCCACACAATAGATATATTAATAACAGTATGACGTATTCCCACGTGTACAAGGATTCGCAGAAGGAAATAGAATTATACGAGTTGAACCTATAATTTTGTGCGGACAAATTTAGTGAAAAGGTTTACGTTATATGGCAAAATAGCTTGTATACCATCATATCGTCAGCTATCAAAGAGACATCTTAAATAAGATCTTAATTCTGCCCAGGCACTGTAGTCAGTATCAGCTTAGTTCAAGCACTAAAGCGTTCACTGTTAATCATTTATATTTGAGCATTACGAAGAGGACCAACGGATGCGGGAATCTCGTTCAACCCCACTTTTGCGTCAATTTTATCATCGCCACTTTCAGGCACCACGAGTAACCTCTGTACTCGTGCGATAAGACGCGACTTACTAAAAAAGATACAAGAGTTTTACAGCGCTCCTATCTATAATAGGGCCATTTTCAATATACGTAGCTTATTTTGGTATAGAAAAGCGAACCTTATTATTATTATTATGCTTGGAAACAAGTGGCCTGTGCATTTCCCATAATTATCCCAGTTACTGGGTGTCTTCTAAAAAGTCCTTTGCTTAAAGAATCTAGCTCTTCAGGCATCACCAACGAGATCAGTGAGGTGATTTTCTGCAACCACAACTCAACTATTATGATAATAAAATTAACATTTTCTTCTTCTCTATCCCTTTGTTTATACAACAGTAGGAACATTTTCCTGGAAAACTGCATCTAATCTTTGCTGCAGCTGATTGCCGTTAGAACTTCTTCAGGGTAACATCCTCTTGACTAATTTATTTATTCAAACGCAGATTCTAAAAAAAAACCCCTCCAGTCATTGTCCAAGATGGCGCTGGCCGATCAGAGCAAATTTCAGCTAAATATTATTAACACTAGTTATGGGGGTATACTTTTTATATAGGCATTCTTTTTAGGCTTCGATTTTAGCTAGCTTAGTTCCCAGATTTATGCTATTTTTCTATTTCCAACAAACACGTTCTCTTATGATATTCACAGGTCTGCACGTTATGCAGAAACATCTCAGCCAGTCGGTAGACTTAAATACAATATCTTCTACTTCTTCCTCTCATCGGCACATACATCGCTTCCTTATCTGCCGCCTATGTCGTGTGCTATTCTGTCGATGACAATACAATAACGTAAAACTATCGGTCTTCTTTTTGTAGTGAAACGAATAAGAACGGTTTTTTGTCGTTTCCGGTGGCATTCATCGTGTGTGGGTAAACCCCCTGGACCATCCGCACACAGGTCTTATTGTTAATGCAGTTATTTCTATATATAGAAGTATTTGTAGCGCGTGATGGTTACTATGCGCTATTTCCGCCGCAATTGCTATTGAATGTTCATTGCTCATATTTCATCTAATGCGCAACTTTACGCTACTTCGGTATAGGTGCAGAAACGCTTCTCTAAACTACTAGATGCAACAGCCGCATCTTGTTTTTTTGCCCCGTTGTTTTTCGCCGCTTCCCAGTTAGGAACAAAGGAGAATTTTTTGAAACGCACGCAGTTTACTATAGTTCTATGCTATTACCTGTTTCTCCTGCTAAACAAGCCCTCTCAATGACTGAGAAGCTATAGCTCTTTAGGCCTTCTTATATTACAGCATTATTAAATATTTTTACTAAGTATTATGACATGGTAGTTCCTTGTCGCCATTGTAACTATCTTCCAAGCATCGCATGTGAACAGCAAGCCACAGCACAATGGGCTGCACAGCTTCGTGACGTAGCTTCATCCACATCGTTGAGGGTCACCGAGGCTACGTTCGTTGTGGAAACTTCACATCTAATCGCGCTCGTCGGTGGTGAGGTCGTTAATCGACTTTGACAATGAGGTTGGTCCCTGCCATCTTCCGGAGATGACTCATACAGACCACCCGGTGTCGTTTGCAGGGATAGCTCTGAAGCACTTTTCAGACATGCTTCCATTGATAGTTCAGAGGCACGTGGAGGAGGCTGAAATAAAGCATCATCCGGTAACTAACCTATAATTCACTTTTGGTCCTCAGCTTTCCATATTATAAATTCGTCTTCTCTGATAACAACGAAGATTTGACAAGACTAATACATGCTGCGTGTAGAACGCAAGAGCAATCCTTAGACTTTTTTTGGAATACCTTCTTCAATAGAGTTTTTGAAGAAAAATAAAACACCCGAGCAAAAAGTGGTTGTGCGTAAATTGTGGGTTTTTGTAAGTAAGCGCGGTAGCAAGAACTCGTTTTGTGAAAAATCACTTCACTATACTTAGAATTTATTAAGAGAAATCTTTTTCTAGCATTACTGTAACCATGGAAGAGTGCTGGACACGGATCGAAGATGAAAATTTGAGGCGTAACAAAAGAGAAGCGTATAGGGAATTCAGGTGAGGTCAAGTAAATAGCAAAGTCCATTATTGGTGATAAGCTAAATCGCAAGCTATTTTTTGTTCGCTGTTCGGTAAATTCACCGATACTGAAGGTACCGGGAATAAAGTTTCGAATATGAGTAAATCTTATCGGACTTTTTTAAACAGACGTTATCGGTTAAGTATTGAATCGGAAAAACTAAACTAATAAAAATGCATTTTTAATGGACTATGGTTTATCTCTCCTAGAATATTGAATAGAATAACCACAATCAAGCAGGAACACAAGTAAAGCAATATGGCGAAAATTGGCTTGATTTGGTATTTTCATATCTCTGCCAGATTAGGCAAACTGACACTTGCAAAACCTTCAAGAACTTGTGGGAGTTGATTACAATGGAGAGCAGCTCCTTATAAATAGAAAGGAAACTCGTGATCAAAGCAACGGAAATAACTAGCTCATCGGAAAGGCATTTACCCCCCATATGCCCCAACTATAAACCTCCACCGAAATATCAATTGGCAGGCAAAACTTTGCAACCGTGTTTCGCCAATAGCCATATAGCCCAAAAGAACCTAATCCACAATACCCCATTTAGACCTTATGTGCATAAGATGATTGATGCTACACAATATAGCGCGTTCATGCCGTAGTAGCCATGCAAGGAACGAAAAGAGACGGTGAAAACATCCAGCTTTATATATAAAATGTATTTTATTTTTTTTACCATTCAGTAACGTAAGCCTCGTGTATATCGGATGACAACCAGCTTCGCATATAGAGTCGAGAGGTAAAACAACGACACAGAAGAATCCATTCAAAGTAACAACATCTGTGTAGCAAATAAACTAGGAAATAAACAAATAACGTTCATCAACAAATGACCACAGGTGGATAAAATATATATATATATATATATATATATATATATATATATATATATATATGTATAGTTAAAAAAACAGTACAGGTGACGTGCTGTAAACAGATGATTAAAATAGCTAAAAGTGCTGAATATATGTAGATGTGTTTTACAGATTTAAATGCAGTGGCTTAAACATCAATCGTAATGTAAAGCTGATACAAATTCAATAGAGTCTAATGGGTGTTGAGATTCCCAGCAAAATATAGCACTTAAGCTTAAGATAATTATAAATAAACGGGTAAACTACGTTTCATATACTTAGAAATTCATGCGCAATTTAGCTTGATTTTAGGTTAAAACTGATTAAACGGGTATTACAGTTAGAATTTGTTTTCGGCCGTAAACACTTTGAAGGAAGATGCATCTCGGACGCCTCTCTTATACTTAAATACAAGAGAAAAACATCCTGAAAATTTTTTGGAAAATTTTTACATTTATAAACATGTCTGTATGGTAGCGCAAGGGTGATAAAGAAGCAAATTCAATGACGCAACATCAAGCTATACTATAACTGCATTGAACAGTACATCAAACGTCATGAAACAGACCCTTCACACCTTCAGGTCATCAGAAACGGACTATAGTTGAAGGTACAGAGATCACGTATTGACTACAGTGAGACCCGACAGCTACAGACGCTTTTTACATTCTAAAACGTGGCTAGTGTGCAAGAAGATGCGATGCGCGCCGTACGCCTACAATCGATACCCGTTTCGAACTCTAACAGACAAAAACTAATGAAGTAAAGATAATTTCTAAACTTCTCAATATTTCTTAGGCTTGATTCAAAATTGGATTTCACATGTAGCATCGAGTCGTTTCAATATCCGGCAACACCTCGTCGCGTGATGTTTTTTTTCGTTTGAGTGTACCCATCTAGATCACAGTTGTGTCAGGGTCACCATCATGAATTTGTCAAAAAAAACCCTTTAGCAAGCTAAATGCTTCCATAAACGTCGATTTTCTAACACACAAAGTGACCCTTTGCGTTAATTGATAGCATAAATGGACAACGCGATGTTATGACCAGCGATGTTAAGACCAATCTCATCTGCTTCCAAAAACAAATCCTGGCCTATGTACATCAGCTGTATACATATGACCACCACATGATTTGTGCAGTCATGGCAAATAAAGCGACTTATACCGCATTGGGTCTACGCAGTCGCAAAAATGCCTCATTTAAAAGTGTCTTTCAAGCTAAACTACAACACGTCATTATATCCTTTGACCCGGATTTACGGAAGAATTATTGGCTTTTTCATTTCTTAGTTCAGCATTTTTTGCACTACTGTTGATTTTTTTCGTATATCTATCCCTCTCCTTCATATGTATTGCGTTCTCCAGATAATATAACTAAATTCAGTCATACTGTGACACTATCTAGTAATGTACGGAGCGTTGACACTCGTAGAATTAAAATAGATCTTTTTTCACACTGAGGCCAATCCTGTTTAGTCCTATCCGCATTTGTATGGATATCAACGGGATACAAATAGACCCGATCGGGCGGGCAATCTGTATAAGTACTATTTGTCCGAAAGTATTTGTACATGGATTGTCCTGGGTCCCGTATTCGTTCTGTTCGACAGTATTCTTACCCAATTAATTATCCAAGGTCACCACAACTCTGCAAGACGAACCCATTCCGTTCACCAAGTTATCCTGTGGTAGCGTAACGATAGAAGATGTAGACGTATCAGGCCCATAAAATCGATGGCATTTAGGCACACAATCCGGTCGCGTTCGTCTACCAAGTCTATTCCTACATTTCTTTTCATCAGTTTTGATTCTTTAAAGACTTCGCGCCATTAGTGGCGTAAGCGCCGTACTGAGTTCATGACCGCGTTCGTGAGCCGCGCTAACATCGTTGGTAGAACCGGCCGCTGCTTCGGCAGCTGCTGTTTGTAGAGTTATCCTAGTGGTGACATGGTGCTGGCGGCGTATTTGTTTTCTATGGCCGACCGAACACGACGAACTGCTGGGTCTTGTTGGGCTGGTTAGCGCCCCGAGGCTTTCCTCGTTGTGTCGAACCAGAACACCGAAGAGGTTTTGTGTCTGCGTAAGTGGAAATGGTTTAGAGTCGCTTGTGGAAGACGTGCTTTTTACAGTTGAACCGTGTATGCGCATCTGTTCATGTTGATCGTGGCTGGCAGTGCAGCTGTTAGATGATGATTTACCTCTGTGACGTCGGCGACGTTTCTGCTGAAATTGGTTGAATACGTTGTCAGGGTGTGATTAATTCATAAGGAGGCGTGGACAATTTTGGATAATAAAATTGGTAACATTGGCAACGAGTAAGCACAGTCGCGGTGGTATGCTATCAGATACTTATACAGAGAGAAATGCGTTGTATATGGAAAAATTATGGAACTCCGATATTCATTACGTGTTACGAAAAGGTACATTAGAAGCTTCGTGGAAAACTGCGTTTGGAAATGCAACTTTTATTTTTAAGGACAGTTAATAACGGAGCTCATGCTGTGTATCTAACTATCACTTGTTGGCGTAGTCTGAACGTTCGGATTCTCGCGGAAAATTACCTTTTTTGGCTTTATGGTTAACAAAACCAACCCGTTTTCAAAGCCCAGAATCTGAATATGCATGGCAAAATCATCAACGTGATTTTCTAATTCAGAAACAACGCTGATGCCATACATCCGGCAAAACGAGGGTCTGCACATTTGCTATGTAATGGCAGATAAAATACATTCAATCGCACATGCCCTATTTGTATACAGAGAAATCCATAGTAAATACACTGGTCGTATTGCTCTGCGTTAAGCCATTGCGCCAATCTAGCAACAATGGGTCACTACTATAGTCCATTGTTAGTGGAGGATAAATAACGTTTTCGCCGGTTGCTTTGATAGGTCGAGAAGACGTTAATTACTACGGTCGTTTGCAAGGGAATCGGCGGTTCTTAGTGCAGCTCTTCGGCAGAAACTACACTGGCAGAAGACCCTGTGATTCGAATTGCATTTTAAAGGGTAAAAGCAATTAAGTGTTTTATTGGCTGAAATATTAACAGGACGGAGTTAGGATTAGGGAATAGGTCGGCATCTGGACGTAGATCTTTGTCAACTGTTCACACCACTGCTGGAGGTAATTGAAGGCAATAAGTTGCTGTATGTAGCGGCTGTCGAAAATATAAAACATACGGCGAACTGTCAAATTGCGTTAACAACAAATCGTGCAACAGTGCTGAACCTACCGAGACTTTTTGAATACCGATCTCAATTGTGCCCAGCCAAAATGGTTGATCGATCCTTCGATGACGAGGTTACCATATTTAAATAGATGCACTTCTGCGAAAATTTTCCAGTTAACCGCTAGTGATAGGTTTAATGTTAAATATAACACATCTGCGTCATAGTTTTTTTTTTTTTTTTATATAACTGAAGCAAATTCAGATACAATCAGAATATCACACACGCAAACACAGTAACGCAATTGCACTCCTCGAATAAGTTCGTATCTCTTCCATCTAAAGACCGTTTTTTTCGTCGTCACGATGTAGCGTCCAATGATTTCTTATGTCATGCTTTTCAATGTTATTATATCCGGGCTATCAATGAACACAACATGGGTTTCACTTCTTTTTTTTTTTCAAATTCAAAATGCGAATTCCATTACCTTTGCGTTAGCCTATATATCGTTTATAGAAATTTTATAGGAATTTAGAGTGAATTTAAAAAAAAAAAAGCAACCAGCAACAAAACCGAGAATGCATATATCCAAAGTGGCTTGTATCAGTCCAGGGCAACTTTTTGGTATTATCGGCTTAAAATACTGAATCTAGCTGTTCTTCGTTAATAATATAGTTAATTATTAATGTAGCTCTGCTTTACGGCCGAAATTATTCCTACACAACGTTCATCTACACAGACACGTGCTTTCGTAGAAGTAGCATTTATCGAACGGTGCGTGCCAGCTGTAGCGTACAGAAAGTAAGATGCCCACATTTAGTTCGTCAGCGAAAAGCATAACAGTACACACCGCCGAAAAATTTAAGCAACGAAGTTAAATACACTGGTGTTTATGCCCCAATGAAAAGCTCCAACATGCGCTTGGCTTTTGTTATCGAGGTATAGCAAGTATGAAGCAAATGAAGCAGGGAAGATTTAGTTCGGACACCATACCTTGAAGATAGTTTGTGATTCCTCTCTGAGTAATGGTCCTGCGCTTGTTCGTGACTGCTCTTCCGGTTCGTTCATCTTCACTGGATAAACTGCAATGCCATCTGATAAATACATATTTAATCGTATCCTAATTTCTTCCTTCATAGATACATTTGTTCTTCCTATGGAGAGGAAACTCGGACATATGACGTTATGGTATACTTGTCCTGTTCTAATATATTATAGGAAATCACGAAACTATCAGGAAAACAAGGCTATACGTTAATATACAATATTATTCAAAGTTAAGACTAGCAACATGAATTGCAAACAACGAACACTGATTACATATCTAAAAACAGATTTGGCATATTAAACGATGCCTACCTTGAGCAGAAAAATCTTTCTGCTCCAACTTGGGCTTACTGTAATCGACCGGATCGTTTCTAAGGCTATTAGCGGCCATATTAATTTCAGCCAAGCTTAACTGATCTCTTTTCTCTTTGGACTTCAAGACGGGCTGCTCTTTATTGGACGAAATGGCCTCTATTTCGGCATCTTTTTTCTGGGTAGAAATCCGTTGGTTAGTTCGTTCAACGCGAACTTCTCGTTCTCTTGCAGTAACCACGTCTCGGATTCGCCTTTCAAGTAGATCCGAGCTCATAAAAGAAGCAATTGCCCGTCTCGGTACGATATGAAGGATGACTATAAGAATTGCCACCGACGCGACCAGGAGGGCACAATAGACAAGCAAAAGACGCCACCACAGGGAATCGCGCTCCACTTCCAACATCCGGAGGGTTTCCATGGCTGAGGTAAGCCTCTCCTGAGGTACTCAAAGGATAGACGGTGGGGAAGATCGTGAAATCGTTAGAAAAACACCACCAAGATCAAGTAAATTGCGTAGTGGCCCATCATAGAAGGCCTGGTGCGACGAAGTATAAGAACTACATCCTTGTACTTAATTCACGATATTCAATAATTAAAAAATGTAACCTGACAACCACTTTTATCGACGTAGCAGAACCAGCAAAAACTAAAGTAGAACTAAAAAGATGAAATGCCGATCACAACAGAATGCTTGAATTACATAATTTATTTACCTGCAAGGCTGCAAGTGCTACCTGTTGGTTTTGGTCTCGTTCAGCGGCTTTCTTTGCTTCGGCATTAAGGACGGCTACAGTTTTGTTGAAAGCCGTTTGCATCTCCTCCATTTGTTTACGATACCGCTGACTCAGTTCCTGCAGATAGTCGCTGCTGAGGTTCGTATTCAGCTCGAGTTGCTTGATTCGACTTTCAAACCGACTGAAAAGGTTTTCCTTTGTAGGTGTCGCCAGCCCGTTGCCTATCTGCCCATGGGGCTTCGTCAAGGGAATTACCGGTTGTGACGAGAGGACGATATTGTGCAACTGCTGTTGCTGCTGCGGAGGCAACTTAACTGAAGCTTTCGGAGTAATAGTGGTTGATTCCGTTGTTTCGGGACCGCGTTCGGCCCGTTTTTCCTTGTCTTCAATCAGCGTATTCTGGGTTGAAGGCTGCACCGGAGCTTTACTGTCCGTCCCAGCCTCTACGATCTTTTTCTTTGTCTGTTGATCATCCTGCTGCTCGTTTGGCTGGTGTTGCTGTTTCTGCTGTGCCAATTTGTTATGTTGTTGTGGCTTGCCTTTTTGTTCAGCCTGTTTCTTGTTAAGGTCAGGCGGGATAATGGAGACCAGTATTTGGGTTTTCACATCTTTTGTCGGCTTCGTGGTTCGCGTCGGCGCAATATCAGCCACTGTTGAAGTGATGAACGCTGATGCTGGTGTCATAGATTTGGTCTGGAGTGGTGGATGGGATATCGGTGGCGTATCAGTCGCCATCAGATCAGCCAGCCCCTCTGGATCCTGATACGAACAACTCCTTTCTAATTCCTTGATAAAGGGTTTTCGATGACACTTCATTGATGGCCATAATAGGCCGTCCGACCCACTAAAATTAGTCAGCTCGATGCATCCGTCGAACTCTGATGCAACAGTTGACGGCGATTTTCTTTCGTTATCCGCTACCTTGGACCCAGTGTCCGGACAGTCGGTGCCATTCGAATTGGCAGCGGACCGCGTTGATGAGCTCCCAGAAACAGCTTGACTCACTGAACTAATTATGTTGATCACCGCCTGTTTGGCGCGCGAAACCATGTTTTCACCACTGCCAACATTGCGACCAACGCCACCTGGTGTAGCTACTGGCAGTTCAGCTGCCTGTTCCTTTGACGCCTTTGGTTGTTTCTGCTCAAGCTGAGCAGTAATGTCTTCCGAAACTTTCTCTTCGTAATCGTCAACCATCGAGCTGCCGAACACTCGCACTAAACTCAACGGACAGTAGTACTGGTTGTTTTCGTAAATGCTTTGAAACTCGACTTTGATTGCCTTGCCAAATCCAGGCGCGTCAAGTGGAAAGCTCTGCACAGTCTTGAGTTGAGCCATTTCGAATTTGCCAATCCGAGTCCAGTCTCGCGACTCATCGGGGTCACCCATGTACACGACAAACGCTTTACCAGTCGATGAATACAGCTCGAAGTTGGCCAGCTCTAGATGAGTCGGGTGGATACTCTCGCACAGTTCAACTGTGAACCACATACCCTCTTTCTGTAGTGAATTGCAAGGATTTAGCATATACTCATCCTTGGATTCTAACAAAATCTTGGACGCACTTTCGGCTCCTGGATTAGCCGACAGTAACTTAGCTCCGCACTCCACCGAGGCATAATTACGCCTACCACGTTTGCGTTCTATAGGCTTTATTATTTCTCGTTGTTCAGGCTCCTTGATTTTCGTTTGCGATGGAATCTCTTGAAGTTGCTCTTGTTCAAGACGAATCTTCTTCCACTCGTCGAAGCTCGGCATTGCCTGTAAAAAATAAATTCAATCAAATCAGCCGGTTCGAGTTAAAAATAATTCTGTCAATAGATCATTTTGCCTAGCGGTTTCTATACAGAAAAAAATCAGTGACATTTGCAAATAAAAATAAGTTACTATACCTTTATGTGGAGATAGTCTGAATAATGGCAGATAAGATGAATTGACTTAAAAGACCCTGACTGAAAACTTGAGCCTTTCAAAACTAGTCATGTACACAGACCACGCGACTATTTTGGCACTGACCATAAACGACGCCGTAGTACATTGTTCTTACCGCAGTTGTCAGCCATTCACTCCGAGTATTTCGTTATTATTTTAATATTTTTAAATTATTTGATTAGGGCGGAAGGTAGCCCTAAATATATATATATATACATATCATAATGATGGAATCGACATTATATAATGTCGATTCCATCATTCTATGAAGAAATTGCTTACATTTATCGGTTTCGGTCAGGTTTTCAAATAGTAAATAGAAATTGTAAAAAAGAAAAAGCAAACTAACCATTCTATCGTAGCACCGAAATCACATTGTAAGTAAGAGATTACCTGCTGAACAACACCAATTCCGCTATCTAATGTTTACAAATATTAAAACTTGACAACTCGTAGCACGCTTTGTCGTCTCTGATCTCGCTCAGTAAGTTTCAGCTTTCGATGAACTCACCTCTTTTCCATCAATGATTGAATCATTCAAAATCGATGTTGCGTTCTCTGTATCATTCTGCTTCAGGCCATCTTCATTTGCCGCGGTCCCCGCCGTACTAGTATCTGTCTCCATCTCAACTAAAGGCAATTGGGGGCCATCTGTTGCATTCGGAGAGGCTGCTTCAGATTTCTGGTCCCCGCGTTGAGCCACGTCACCATCTTCCTGAACAGCTTGTTTCGTTTCTTCGATCCGAGCCGGGGTGACAACCTGCGGAAATTTTTGCCCTGCATCCGACGTGACTGTGGTACCATCCGAACCACTCGCTGAGGCGTCTACATAAATGCTCTTGGCATCGAGTCGCGACTCCGCCTTGGTAACGACGACATTTTCTTGACTCGGTTCTTCCAGTTGTTGCGGAAGTGGTGAAGGGACTTGATTTGACTCTGAAAACGTCGACATTGTTGGGCTTCGAGAGGATTCACTAGGGATAATCGGCGTGTGACGCACTTCCGGCATCCCACCAGTCATTCGACTATTAGCCGGCGTTGTGTCACGATCGTCTCTTTTCGCTGAGGGAACGTCCGCTAGTGACTGAGGAATTTCCCCTGTGCTACGTATTTTCTTTCTTTTACTGGTGCTCGTACTGTCACTGCTATTTGGATTATCATTATTGTTTACTTTGCTACTGGCCTGCCCGTCTTGGACGTCCTGAACTTGACTGCCTGCTGAAGCTGTACGTAGCTCTCTGATACGTTGATTTCGACTATGTTCATAACTGCGTAGATAGCTATTGGCTTCACCGTATGTGCGAACGTCTAACGATTGCGCCTGCAATCAAATTCAAAGTAATCACTGATGTATCAACAAACTCATGATTAGCTATACACTGTATAGAAAGGTTCTCCTAATATTTGTTTTGTTTCCATATATAAGATATTGTACTAATATTGAGCTTTAATCTATGCACCAAAATGTTATACACAACTTGGAATAAATCGAATTTAGAAAGGGTCGTCGCCATACAAAAACAAATAATTTGTGGTTACTAGCTATTTATTCGCCTTCGGCATCCAAATGCATCCGTGACATCACCTTGAATGATGTATGAAAAGTGTCACCTTTTGCGAACTTACCGAACGATGTAACCAAGAGGCAAATGGGTGCGTATCTCGAAGGCACAGTTTTAATTCTGAGGCGCTCTGTTGCACGCTGCGCCTGTCCTGGGGGCCAAGCTGTTGATCTAGGCCTACGCTCGAACCACTAGAAACATGTACACAAAAAAGACCGCTATTACTACTAGTAAGAAACCTTTTGTCATTCTGGCGAACCTCATTAGCGCAGGAAATATGTAGAACAAAGACTGGTTATTCAATATTCATATCATATCGTGGTGATGGTAACGATGAGGATTGTTATTTTCTTGTTGACATTAATCTAGTAAAAGACTTAATAGGTGACCTGGATTCGGTTCCTTGGTGTCGACACCTGCAAGCTAAAATTAAGACGTTTTATATTCTTCTAGAATATAAAACGTCTTAATTTTAGCTACTTTTCGCTAGTTCCGTTCAATGGCTTGTGATACTTTTGTTAGTTGTTGACAGCAGCGATCCAACTCGATCGTTCGGTCAGGCGGCAGGAACCTTCACGGCACCGTTCCTATCCGATACCATCAAATACGTGGCAACGCTTTCCCTACGACCAGTCACGCACATTATTTTTAATGCCTTCATTCGCAATGTGATTCACTTTTTATCAGCTGTGATAAAAAGTGTCGAAAAAGGGCTCGATTTCGTAGCGTTTCCGTAGAGTTTCTCAGATGGAAATAGGACCGAATAATTTTTTGCCTGGCATCCAAACAACCGACTTTTTTTTCGTGGACAGCTGTCTTCAAAGGGCTTAACTACTTGGCAATGAATGTTTAGTTTCTTGGCGATACCATGGCTACCCTTATCGTAATAGCACATCAGCGCCGACCCGACCGACTCGTTACCTGAAATACGTAAATATAAAGCCATCTAGCTAAAAGAAACGGTCAGTACTTACGGTCATGAGCAATAAATGGAAAGGAAGGTACCCACTAACGAATGAATAGTTTAGCTCACACCTTCAACTCACAGCTTGGGTTCAAATTTGAACGACGCAATTCATGGTCTGTCCATATGAATTAAATAATAGGACGGCGCAATGATTCCCCTATAAAACCGGTGTGCCGCCACAGCTTTAATACCGTGTGTCACATTTTTATTTTTAATTTGCGTTTAACACGAAGCGAACAAACACTACGCAGGTGATTATATTGCAATAGTGCTAGTATATTACACAACTATGCACAGTGTAATGAAGGATCTCGTTCTCGCTTCCTTGTTTACTGCAGTATTCCCTGATAAAATTACGGTATTAACACGAGCGACGTTGTCATTCAACAGGACGCGGTTGGGCTGCAAAATCTGCGTCATGCGTCGTCACGAATAATTAATATAGCTCGCAACTAGAATCCACATCAGCGGACGTTACGAATCACCGTATACAAGAACGACTTTCGTCATGGCTCCTTCGAAGCCACGCTTCGTTTTTATACATCCTTTACTAACCACACATTTAGCATTATGCAACCCAACAGCTTTGTTGAATCCTCACTTGTTAAACTGCGACTGAAATTTTCCCTAACCTTCGGCCATCTTCCCGACCTTCTTGAGTGCGAGAGCTGTGTCGACCAGTTCTTTAACTGGCAGTACAGCTTACCCCCTCAGAGCACAGCGAAGTTTCTTTCGTTTTGGTTCCCTTTCGTTGTTGTCCAGACTAGCCACAACGGTACATGTACGTATACCTCTATGCATTCGGTGCTTAATTGGGCAGCGGTCCGCGTATTTGCCCGCCCTTCTGGCCGCGTGCCACTATAACGGACTGCATTGTACCGTCTCCAGGCGCAAGGCCCACCCTGTACTCGCCTCAGGCATTTAATAGCGCACCGCTGCTGCTGCTGCTCCTCTTATTGCCTTTAGATGGTTAGCAACGATTGCTTTTAGCTGCTGACTGTAACCATCCGTCTGTAAGCAAAACAACACCAGCAAATCGAATGGCTGATGAAAGGAGTGACGTTCCCACACAACTGGACTCGCCGCCATAGTTATTTCTGACTTTGCTGATATCGCCGTCTTTTCAGTATTGCAATGCCCGTGTCAGTATTTCAACTGCACAGCTACGGCCGGTATCAGCAGCAGATACAGCCAGGTAGCCTACTGCAGCACAAACAGCTCTACCCCTCTATCCCCGGTTTGTCACAGGACTTTCCAGAGCCTCAAGTTCCTATTTTCTTTATTATGCCGACGCATGGGTAGTTGATGGCTGATCGTCATTGGTCGTCGCTAGAACATCTACGTACCCCCAGCACTTCGTGTCTTCGTTTCTTCTTGCTCTTTCAATGGAAACCAAATTCTCTGCTTTGTTTGAGGGCATGGGGAGAAGGATAAATTTCCGCACAAAGACGGCGTCTCAGCCGGTTTCTATGAACGATTCCCGGTCGAAGCCTTCAGAGGGCGCTGGCGTAGGATTCGCCTTGGAGGCATCATACGCAATCACTCCAGTAGGCATATACTTTCGAGGGTGCCCCACCCGCAACGGATAGGGCAAATCTAGGGTGGGGGCAATCAGAGCACGTAGAGGTGAGGGTAGGAGAAAGGGAGAGGGGGGAGGGGGCATCGGTGATGATGACCATGGAAGCGTTCATGGTCAAGGTCGCCACGCTGCTAGTCTCATCCTCTACCCTCACCCACATCCGTTTACCACATCCCACCCACGTCCGAACGCACTACTCGGCAATGAGACGACGTAGGCTTCATTTAGCAGCAGGACTGGCAGCAGCTCGTTCATAACTGTTGCGTTTTTGTTCGAGTGCAACCTTTTAAGATCGCGAGAAGTAAAGAAATCAATCATAGATGTCGCCTGCTGACAACTGCATCATTAAAGTTTTTTTCGGAACGTGACGGTAAGGTGACTCTGAATCAGAGTATCCGGGGGCTGGTTGGCTATCAAGACCACGGACACTCTGTGGCTGGCTAACTTGCTCCGATTATCCAAGGTATGCCGTGGTACCTTTCCTCCTGTCGGTGTACGCCTTTTGTTTTCTGGATCAGATAGGGAAACACCAGGCAGACATCATCGGTTGGTATTTGTCTCGCTAATAAGATATCTGCCTAAATGAACGGATGCTTCACTCACCAGTAGCGGCGGTAACGCAGACGACGATAAAAAATAACGGCGACTTGGGGGTGGTGGAGCGTAGTTCGCTTGGCTTAAAGTACGCTCCACCGCCCATGTACGTAACATGTCAACCGCTCCCCGTATTGATTAGATGCTGCTATCTACGAACCATTCGCTGCGTATTTACTTGGAGGAGCCAGAAGCTTCCTAATTCTACTTTTATTGCGCGACTTTGCAACGTCGGTATTCTGCATCGGCCTGCACTTCGACGACTATTTTGAATTTGTCATGTGAGCGTCCGTTTGTGACCGTGTTATGCCTACTAAGCGAACGTACGCACGCTGCACACGTCGTGTGCACGTCTGTCACACATCCCTTGTCCGTGTGCACGTATTCGCTAAACTGCCTTCCCTGTTTGTCCTTTTGTCCGTGTGACTCGAGCGGTTCGTCCTCTAAACCGCCAACAGCACTACTACCAGTAACCATTGTGCCTCAACACCTACCACGATGTATCGGCTACCGACTTCCCACTCTGCCGCCTGTGGCTGCTGTCGCACTGTTGCTATGGGCCCTCTTGCAGCCGCTACATCGAAGCGCAGTCATCGTAACACTATCCTATTAGAATCGTGCCAGCGGACCCGCTCAGTGGCCTTACGAAACACAATAACCGTTAACACCATAAGCATCACTATAATCGCTGCCGTCGCCACAAATGGCGTAAAATCGAATACAGTGTACGCTTTACTGTAGCTTAGCTAGCCACCATTTCCACTAGTTTGACCCGTAGAGGCGCTGGCGACGGTTGTCAGTGATGAACTACCACGTTACGCTGTTGCCAAGGGACATCGTCATCCTCCATATTGACTCGGCCAGTGAGTCCCCATGTTTTTCTCTCCCTCTTTTTCTCCTCTGTTTTATCTGTAGCTTCTAGCTCCTCCATGCATTTTTCTAAATAGGGCTCATTTATGTGAGGATCTGTGGGTGGACTTGTTTTTGCCAGCCAATGGGCGTGGGAATGCGTTGCAGCTTAGCAGATCCATGCACAACATGTCTAAACATGTTCGAGAGATTCACTTCTAACTAGAGCACCCGACGAAATTTTTTTAGAGCTATCGCCTTCAGACTACGGACTATGTGCCCAGCAGCATACTCAGGCTATTATGCCTTTGAAGAGTTCGCATCTCCAGTTATAAGACCGCCGCCATAACCGATTCTAAAACCACAGTTTCGAGACCGTAACCGGATCGCGAAGGATCCGACAAAAAGTAATAACTGAACAATATCGTGTAAATGGAACGTGTACTAAATATATTTTATGACAAGTTTTTCCAGTTGTCGAGAAAATCCCAAGTATCGTACATCATACCATACATATCGTACGTGGCGGCGAACCTTCGCTCCGCAGTTGGGCGTCGTTGAAAGCTTGTCGTGATCTGGAGATCGACATCGAGTTCTGTCTTCTATTCTTCGAAATCTCGTCCTTCCGATTTAGCAACTCCGGAGGAATCTATCTGCAAACTCCTATTTGAGGTCAGTATATGTCAGCGTCATTGCTCCAGAGTTTACGCCAAACTAAAAATGTCGGCGGTTTTCGAGTGGCATTGCCGTCCATGTCGCTACTCTGTTACCAGGTATCAGGTGAGAGTTCAAGTGCAAGCGACGTTTAACCCATAGACTGCAGTGATGGTCATTGTACTGGTTGATGTCGCAGCGTCGTTCGCTCCCCAAATCAGTCGGAGTCATTCCTCCATGAGCTCTTCTATCCGTCATTCGCCCATGACACAGGTAGCAGCAACGTTTGTCAGTGCGTGAACACGCAGACAGAGTCGCCATAACCTCACACTCTCAGAGACACAAATATCGTATTGTCACCATACAGATACCACTGGAAATATCCGGCCCGAAGCAGATAAACGCCCTACGACACGTCATGATCATAAAGAGACAAATGATATTCAACAATTCCAAACAAAAATCCTTACGGTATACTCGTAAAGTCGGCTTAACTGTCTACCGAACGGTACACGGTATTTTTTAAGAGTCCGACAAGTGTTTGGGTT